AGCCTCTCACTTAATCCCCACAACACACTTGCTAGGCAGATGTCCTTATCCCTGTTTTGCTGACGAGGAAAATCAGGTTTGAAGGAGTGGAGTGAAGCAAGCTGAAGTTCATGCCTGCCTAACTTTCAAGTCCACTCACTTGGGCTCTAGGACCATGCTTCTCACAGATGGGGAAGAGGAGGAGGAGGAAGAGGAAGAGAAGGAGGAGTGGTAGTCTTGGGTCAGAATGAGTTGCGAAGCACATCTCTGCTGCTGTCTGTGAGACACAAGTACACTTTTGCCCTGCCCGCTGCTTGGCTTTGCCAACTGCTGGGCCTCTGGAGCATGGGCAGCACAGGGAGGGGGGACCCCCAGTGTTGTTTGTACTGGAGTCTGGAAATCCTCTCAGCATCCTCATCTTCCAAAGACACAAATTCACCATGAATGGATTTGATTAAACAGCACTAGTTGGGTTCATTTTTTTGTTTTGGCCCACACAATGAATACTAGTGTAGCCTCACAATGCCCCCCACCAAAAGATCCCATTATGGGAGGTTTGATGTTTCTGAGGGGTAGTAACCACATGGACTCTCTCTCTCCATGAGTGCCTTCCATCTAGGTTCAGGCATCTGATAGCCAGAAACACTCTGGACGGAGGAGCAGAAGAAATGAGAAGAATGGTTTTGCCGCTAAATAGAAATTTTTAAATGTGTGTGTTGAGGGCTAAACTTCTGGCCCATCTTAGCCCTTCTGTGGGTCTGGAACCAGGTGGGATCCGTTTCTGAGTCATGTAGCATCAGACGTTACATTGCTCTCACTCGTTCTTTGAGCTTCTTCTAACTCCATTTCTGAGAGGGTGTAGGGGTTTTAGAGGGCTCAGGAGACACTTTCTGGAAGGAGACGCTCCTGGTCTGGAGCATCTTCACGATCTCGGCTGCACTGGAGTCCACTGTTGTCCACTGTGCCCATCCATCTCGCTGAGGGTCTTTCTCTCTTTGCTGATCCTCAGTTTACAAACTTGATGTCTTTCTCCAGGGACTGGCCCCTCCCTGTCCCGAGTACACGAAACATCTCCCCATCCTCACTGCCAAGGAGCTGCACGTCTGTCCTTCCAAGATGGATTTCTGGCAGCGTGGAGCAGAGCTGCCACACCGGGTTCCCAAGCCTGCACATCTCTATGGAAGCGAACTCCACATCTTTCTCCCATGGAGCCTGGCTGTCGGACTTCTGACCACCTTTCACTTAGAAGCCGAACACAACCAGGAGCCTTTTCATAGCCACCACCTAGAAAGTGGGGAGAGGAGCCCTGCAAGGTAGCTGAGCCCTATTGCAGGTCACAGTTAGACCTTCTTTCGTCATAAGGGAAGTTTCTTGTAATGGGAAGAAATAACACTCAGAACCAACAAATATGAAGAAACCATTGGACACAATTTGAGTAAGGACACTCTCTGGGCATTGGAGAAGTCTTGTTCTCTTCCCTTCTGGTCTTTGGGAGAGCAAATGGCCTGAACAGAGACCAGCAAAGGACAGCAATAAAACCCGGAGCCCATGTGCAGCCTGGCAGGGGCCGTCAGCACCCACGGTGGGGGGAGAAAGAACTGGCCATGGAGCGGAGCAAAGAAGTGCAGGTTTCGGCCTGCGAGACACAGGCGGGCGGGGCTTTTATACTAAGCAAGCACAAGACTAGAGGGGGAAATCAGGCGGCTTTGTTTTTTTCTATGACAGAATCAATAGATTCCAATCAAGCACTGAGTGTGATCAGGGTCAGATGAGAATTACTAAGTGTAAGTCTTTGTCGGCAGGAACTAGAACATACTTGTATCTGGAAGGATGGTCTGCATTTCTGCAAACCAGGCCTCTGAAAGCCGAGGAGGGCTGAGGTGGCTGGAGGTTCCTGCCCCCAGGCTCTAATGCCCTCTGCCGTTTGGGACTTCCACCCTGGCCCTGTGGAATTCACCTGGGACTTGGCTTTCCGCTAAGAAAGGAAATGAGAGGAAGGCAGAGAGGAGAGTCAGAGGTCTGAGAGTCTTCAGGTCCCCAAACGGGGGCTGGCGGCTTACTGTGTTCCTATTCTCCACTCACACTCCTCATAGTAGCCCCTATACATGTGACCCAAGCAAACATGTGGGGATGCATCTTCCGGCTCCCCCAAAGACACAGCCGTGTAACTCTCTTAAAACAAGAGAGTTGCTCCTCACACCCGCTCTAGCCCCATTCCCACCCTCCGCCAGCCCTCTGACCCCCAAAGCAAGTCTAGAGCCTCCACTGGACAGTGATGGTGATTGGAGTTCACAAGAATACATGCAAACTGCACAGGACGGTGTTGGCTCTATGGCTCCTCTAATTACACAGAGTCTGGCTTTGATATGCTTGATTTGGTACCAGGCCCCAGGGATGGGAGAGGAGGGAAGAGCCCGGAGTAGCTGTGCTCATCGGCTAGGGTTGCCCTAACACAATGCACAAGTCAGGGGCTTGCAACCCCAGCCATTGCTTTCCTCAGCGTGTGCGGTGCCAGCAGTCCTGACTGTCCTGCCCTTGTGCAGCTTCCAACACACCCCACCCCACCTCACCCAGAGGAGGTGCTCCTTGTCCTGGGCAGTGTCGCTCACTCCAGCCTTTGCCTTTGGTTTCACGTAACAATTCTTTCTGCATGTCCCTGGTTTTCTTCTTCACTTCTTAGGACAGCAATCACACGGAGATGAGGATCCACCCAACTTTAGCATGACCTTGTGATAACGGATTACCTCTGCAAAAGCCTTATTGCTAACTAGAGCCACATGTTGAGTGTCGGGAGGGTAGGACATCAACACACCTGTTTTGAGGGAAAGAGGTACAACACAGACACCCTAAACTCCTCGAACGCACCCAAATGAGGCTGCACAGGGGCCCAGCCTGCAGCTGTGGGAGGTCCAGGAGGCTGTTAGTCACTTCCGTTGGGGAATACGTCAGGGATGGCAGGGAATGAAGACATCACAGGGCCATGATTCCCGCATCACTTCATTCAAGCTTCAAACACCCCAAGAAAGGTGGTAGTGGCTCAGGAAACATCTGTGAGTGCTTGGAAGGGTGAGTAAATGAATGTGTCCCTGCTGGCATCGTGGTAACGCATTGGCTGCCAACTTGAAGGTCGCCAGTTCAAAACAACCAGTCCCTCCAAGGGAAAAAGAGGAGGCTTTCTACTGCCCCTGTAAGGCAGCGGTGACTCCATGACAGGCCGAGCCTCTTAAGGCAGGCCTGAGCTTCGTTTCTCTAACAGCTTTGAGTTTCGTTTCTCTAACAAAGTCACCCTCTCCCCCGAAATGACGCTGACCACACCTGGAAAGGCCCGAGTAATCACAATGACGCTGACCACACCTGGAAAGTCGTGAGTGACCACAATAGGAACGACCGAGAGTGGAGCCAGTCAACCAAC